GGAAACAACCCTCCTTTATACCTTTACCTCTTTAATACTCTCGTTTTTAGGCTAAATCCATGTCGAATTCCCGATTCGGAAAATAGTGTTTAAACTTGAATTTAGCACGTTCGACAACTCTTTTTCTTAGAGGTGACTTAAGGTGTAAACATACAGTACTTTTCATCTTCCGCACTGAATTTGTAATCAGATAACTTATACGTCTAGCACGTAGCTCTTTTAGGGGCGGTACCTTAGGTACGCCCTTTCTTCCCCGAATTTTTCTGTTTATTCTGCCGATATGTAGCAGTCTTCAAGGGTTATTTTCTCTTAAGATATCTCTTCAAGTATGATTTCAATTCTGTTCGTAAGTTTATTATAATTTTTATATTTTCAATCTTGTTTTTGTTTCGCTCGACCTTGACCGTAAGACTAAGAAACTTAAGGTAGAAAGTCATTTTGTGAAGTGTAAACATCGCCAAGGTATCTACTTAGTATGCGAACTCCGCTCTGCGTAGTTTAGCGTGATTCGCTAGTTAAGTGTAAAAGCATGACGAAAGTTAGAGACTGACAGCTCACTAAGCGTGTCTATTGGCCTTTTTTAATTATTGGATGATGTTCTCAAGTAGTTTATTTCATCTACACATTTGCTATTGTGAGTATTTGCTATTGCGAGTATTTGCTACACTAAAATATTTCAACTACAAAGAAATGATTCTCTGAACTTTTATAAACAGGCTACTGCAACAGATCCTCTTACCAACAACATCAGCTGCTGTCCTGAGAATTTCTTCCAACTCAGGCTGCTGGTATTCATGAGACGTATCTGTATCGACCACTAGAATACAAAACCTAGGAGTGCATCTCGCTAAGTATGATTTGATGTCAGCTAATGAATAACGTTCCACTTGGGGACATTCTGGCAGCCTTATCCTACGATAAAGGTCATCGAGTACTGATTTCACAGCCTGGATTGTTGCCGGTGACACATCACAGCCAAGGACTACTAAGTCTAGAGAATAAAAGCAAACAGTAATTAAAACTTCGTTTTGCACAACCCAAAACCATTTTACAACACTTATTTTTAAAAAATCAATCAGTTTTAGTCAAATAAATGCTAAACTTGAAATACTTGAAAAAAAGCCTCAATTCCGCGTTTGCACTTCCACTAGTCTAATTATGTTAACTTGAACGTTAAATTAGTACATGCCTATAGGCTTCACTTCGTTGTTCGCACTTCCAGCACTTAAATAAATGCTAAACTTTCAAATACTTGCCTAAATGCTTCATTTCATTGTTCGCACTTCCACCACAAAGTGCGTTGTTTGGGTTTCTGGCACTTGCTGTAACCATGCATGTACGACTCAAAGGAACCTAGTATCATTTTATATGTAAAAATATATGAAGTTCACAAAAAAAAGTTGCTATCGAGTCAGGATTAAAAATTGATTGATAAGGTTAAAAATCGTGATATAAAGACTACGAGACACCAATGAAACAGCGTCTTTAGGACTTATTGTTGCTTTTGTTGAAGTCGTTGTAAAGGTACATATTGCTCTCGTAGTGGTCGTTCATTGGTGTCCAGTATTGTCTTTTTTCAGAGAGTCCCGTTGTTCTTACCTTGTACTTCACGTTCCCCTTATATGGCAGTATCTCTTCGTACTGAGAGCTGTTGCGGTTTGTTGTGTAATAGTGCCAATTCAGAATATGCAGCCACATCTTTTTGTGTTTGATGTTATTTTTAGGGTCAAGAATTAAAAGGAGAAAAGGTTGTAAACCTCTAGAAGGTATCTAAGAAATTGCCACCACTATCTTACAAAGCTTTACTGATGTTCATGTCATAATGGATTTAAATAGTTCAAATTATTTTCGCAATCTTTTTTGGTTTTTCTTGAGCATGGTTTTAGATGCCATTGCTGACATCGCCATCGGTCATTTTTGGCTCAGGTGGAATTTCCTCTGTTGTGGTTAATATTGTCAATGTCTCGTGGTGCTAGCGTTGTTGTTGTAATTGTTGTTTCTTTTGACAGCTTCGTTTTTGTTATCTTTGTTCTGGTATTAATACTTATTTTTGTGGCTATTGTAACTGTCTTGATCATGATTCTCGTTCATGTTTTTTTAAATGTAATCTGTCGTAGTAGTTCTCACCTTTGACCAGACGTGTTTCCTTCGTGGTAGTATCCCTTTGCACTCTGCTCTGTTCAGATCGGTCCCCTAGTGATGAGCATCCATAATCGGAAGCTGAAACAGCGGTTGCCGCAAGGGGATCGAGGTGTACGTTCAGCTTAGGTTGCTGACTAGCGTGAAAATCCACACTTCTTTGCCTTGTCACTGTGTAATCTTTTTGCAAGAAACTTGGCTGATCCCACCGGTCTTTTATTTCTTGTCTACTTCTCCCTTCGGGAAGGGTGGCGGAGCGTTGAAGCTTGAGCTGGTGCGCTGGTTCTGTATCTCGTGCTAGCGGAGCCGTTTGATCTCTTAAAGAAAGCTCGGAATGCCCTGGTGGCTCATAGTCAAACTTTTGTCCTTTCTTGCTTTGATCAAAGAAGTGTTTCAATGCTTGCTCGTGAATGTCTCTGTGTTTCCTGTTCCATGAAAAGATGAAACTTCTTCGTCCGTCGAGGAATTCCTCCTTTAACTGGGAATGTACCTTCATTCTTGCCCAACGCGAGACTACGGCTCTTTCCTCTTCCTCTTCGTTCCTGTAATTGTCATCCCCACCGATAACAACAATCACGTTTCCGTCTACTTGACAAGAAAAAAATTGAACAAATCACATAATTATATTAAAATGGCCTTGTAATAAATTAAGTCTCGCTCGCTCGTCAGAAACGTGACTTTCGTGGTCACGCTACTGTTCCAATCCGGCCCTGTTGTTAAAATCTGCGTGTTCGGAAGCGGAATCATAAGTCAACGCGGTCAAATTAGAGAGAATGGTAAATTTATTAAGTGTTTGAAACTTAGAAATCGTAAATGGTGTGATATAGCGAAAACATGAGTTATGAATTTTGAAAAAAGTTGCATATGGATCACGAACCATTAGGTTGAGAAAGAGGTAGGAATCACAAATATCGAAAGTAAGGTCAAATGATTCTGCATTTGTTGCACAACTTTCATAATATCTGACACGGCAAAACTTTTATTTGTATCTTTTGTTTGTCAGTATTTTAGTCACTAAAACTTACTTACGGTAACCTGCGAACACAGCCGTCACAGCTTCCTCCAATTTTCTTAATCAAAGTTTTCAAAATATTTAATTGAAATCTATATTTAGAATACTATTTGTATACTGCAGTGTTCGTATTGAAACGCAAGCGAATCCTGTCAAAGACATAGTGTGGCCAATAATGTCGTTAAAAAGCATGTGGGTAAAACAATTTAGGAAAGGTTGAAGATAACGCTATGTTCTGTTTGTCAGTAACATAAATTTCGTGGCGTGACCGTCTAAATTTCAAAACACTGAACATTGAAGTTCATTGACAAATCAATGTGCCACATTACAAAGGTGAAGAACGAAATGGTACCTGAAAAATATCTGGTATATAAAAATTTAGAAAACCCTAGTGTGTATATTTTATAGAAACTACCCCAATATGACTCGCAGAAGACTTTTTGAAATAATGATTATTCAAATTAAACTCTTGTCGTACTCAAGTTCCGGTTTCGCTTTACCTGTCGCTTGAAGCAAAGCTCTGTAAACCTTCGTGTAGCCTCCCTCTGTGTTTTCGTTGATGGAGAGTCGAGATTCGTTTGCATTGACAACTAAAATGGCAGCATCCATCTCCAGTGTGGGAATCGTTTGATCGCTGAACTCAGTTATCTCGGAAACCGTGAAATAGTGTTGCTTCACAGATATCTCAATGCCAAGATTCCTTGTCGTTGTCAACAACAAATGTTCGATGGAGTCGAGCTTATAAACACGGTCGCAGTTGAAGAGATGGAATTTACTAGGCGATGCCATGATATTTCTTTTGTTATGGAGATACTTTTGAAAACTGAGATGTCCCTTCACCTAGAACTGAACTGAAATAATTTCAGGATGTCATTGGAGCGCGTATGAAACTTGTTAATGGCGGTCGGTAATATATTCGGAAATAACATTCCATACTTTCCAAATGAAACAAATTATTCCTTTTACAGTGATCACTCAGAGCTTGTAACAATAACGATCATGGAAGAAGTTGTCACGATATACGAAGACGATTTTGTTGTAACGATTTCTGGGAAAAATAAGAACTCGAGCAGCAAATGCATGATGGGTAAAGCTGTGTGGCTGTCAGGAGAGTTCGTGACGAAGGGTATGTAACGCAACGCAGGTTATGAGAATTTGAAAATAATTTCAAGTAAATTCTTCCCTTGTCCCAGTGCGAAATGACCGACTCGTTTTCTTCGCTTTCACCCTCCAATCACAACGATAGCTTTCTCTCCTGGTGCAGATACGAATTAATTATTAGTTCAACGAGAGACAATAACCCAACGGAATTTTTTACAAGAGTTTTCCGTATTCTGCATATTGCATACGCACCAATTTAGCGGCCAATCTTAAACAGTATACTCAGTGAAAAGCACTCCTAAATTCTACTTTTCTGTCCCAATTTACCTTACGATAGAACCATACTTATGAATAGAGCTTAACCTCATTAAACGAATCAAAGTTAGTTCTAAATTCTTGGAAACAGTACCATTTGTCTCATTCTTCGTTTCAAGAGCATTCGTGAAATTTCTTCTTCTTCTTCTTTCATTCGTGAAACTTCTGCCTCAGTTGAGGGCGGAAAAAATAAACTGTGCTTCAGGGCTCCGAGCTCGACTTTTTTCGAGGTCGTCACTTAAAGAAGTAAAATCATTAAGAAAGGTCGTCGAAAAGAAATTGGTCGTTAGGAATAAAAAAAGTTAACAGATTCTCGGAAACAGTCGCTCTTTTAGAAATATAAAACGCGTAGGTATCAAACGTTCGATACATGTACTTAAACACAAGTTATATTCATGTAAATGTTTTTTTTTATTTTCCAATAGAGATCAACGCAGATACTATCGACTTTTCAATTAAAGTCGAAAAGGACAATAAGCTAGCTGCCTCCGGCAAAGCTCTGTATATCTTTGTGTATCAAGGTTCCAAGTTACTGTGGTTAATAAAGTGACCAGATTCGGGTGCATTTACAACAAACATTGCAAACTTAACAGGTTTTTCTCTATTGAAATCCCCTATCTGAGATAAACTTGAATCAGATGATTATAAACTCACTCGTTTTCCGTTTTACAGGTTCGACGACGATAGCCTCTGCCTTGGCAAACTCTGAGGAAAGGAGCGACTTGCGTGATAAAACTGCCCAATAACTATTCGGCGAAAATCATCGTGCCTCGTGATAAAGCTGATTCTTTCGATGTTGCCATCATAAGTTAGGTTTTCGGTTACTAAGGGAATTTCTCTCTACGGCAACAAAACTTCAGAGCACTGACCACGGCATCAGTGGAACATTCTCTACATTTGGTGCGAAGGAATGATAAGTTGTGGCAACAGAAACGAACACAGCTACCCATTGTTAAGATGGATTTTGCCACAGAAACAAGACACAGGTGCAACGAATGAAATATTCGGTAACGGTATATTTTTGCTCTAATCTTGACCTGAACACCGCAAGCGAGCAACCGTCTCTGTCGGTCTTTGCCGAAATCTTCGCTTGATACACGCGGTTCTCCTTCGTAGGGCTCAACCTTAATCGCAACTTCTATTTCTTTTTTATTACTAGAGTACGATGTATCACAACTCTCGATAGAGACTACTGAAGGAAGGTATACATCGCTAATCGGACATTATTTCTAGAGTATTTCAACGCTAACTAATACAAAATTATAAGAGAAGTGTGAGATTTTGCAAGTGTCAATCGAAAGTTTTCACAGTCTACGGAACCAGTAAACCCAAAATGAGAGTACTTTTTGACCAGAAAATAAAACGAGTTGTAATTTTTTAATGTTTCCTCTCTGGATTGTACACACGATGAGCGGAATAAGTATGCAAAAGTATTTGGTACCAAATGCACTCCAACTAGCTCCGACTTACAAACAAAAAGTGTATTTTCTCCAGTTCTAAAGGTTATGAAAGGAACGGGAAAAAAAAATCGTATTCACAGATTCTCTTACTCTCCTAAAAACACTTTCCCTTTTTACTATAAGTCGAACATTTTTTTTTGCGGCTCCTGAAATGATGTACAGGTCAGCACCATCTTTTTCTGTGAAACCAGAGATAATGTCTTGAGGAATATGAACATTTGCCAATCTAAACTGTACATCAACGTCTTCAAAAGACGCCTTTCCGTGGCGGATACGAGTTTTCATTAAGAGAAACTCATCTTTAGCGAGATTTATATCCTCATCCTGGAAAAACTTTTCAAAATTTTGATAACTATGACACTCAAGTCTGCCATCACTATTCCTAATAATTCTTACTCCAGTCTCAGGGGTATCACGGTGTTTGGTAAGCAACAAATCTTGAATGTTATCTGGAATTTTAAATTCAGGGTCCCAAACTTGAATGTCACCTAACTGATTAGATATCCTTCCATAACGAGCGATACTTCTCAGCACAACAACGGGAGGAGGGTTTCCAGGGAATTGTGTCGCCAGTATAGGCTGCGGGGTATTTTGGGAACTCTCCTCCTGACAGCCTTTTAATTCTAAGTATTCAGTTTGTAAATGATCTGTGGTAATGTTGTGTAGATAATTGGAAGGCAAGTCAGCGTTAATACCCGGTTCTTGAGAGCCTCTTGGGCGGATCACATGTGTGTTTGGTGGGTAAGCACTGTCTCCCTGATTACCGAGAGAAGGTTCCATTCCCACCGAGTCTCTACTGCCGCCCGCGGCACTACTGCTGCAACTGGGGTGTGAATCTGTCGGATTTTCTTCTTTACCAGCTGTCAGTAAAGAGGTGTCTTTACCGTTATGTAAGCAACTCCTGGATGTGTATGGATTTTCCAATTCTGTAGATGTTTCCTGCAATTGAGGTTCTGAGTTTAATTGTTGGTTTGGAGTAGGCGGCCGATATTCAAACTTTAGTCCTTTCTTGTTTGGATCAAAGTGATACAACAGAGTTTGTTCTTGAATTGCGCGGTGTTGTTTGTTCCAAGAGGAGATAAAGCTCTTTCTGCCATCAAGATACTCTCTGCCGAATTGTGAAGAGACTTTCTCCTTCGCCGAACTTGAAATAACCTCTCGATTCTCTTCATTGTCGTCTTTATAGTTGTCATCTCCCACAATAACGGTACTAACATCTTCTCCTGTAGATCGAGCAGATTCAAATGTAAATAAGTGTAGCATTATTATCTCTTAATAAAAACACAATTGTGGTGACCAGATATTAAAATGGATGAATACCCTTGATTGACTGGGGCCGTATTGGTAGAATTGACCATTTTCAATCAACATGTCGTGCACGTTCTCAGTTTCCCCTTAAATCTTGAGGCTATTGAACCGTGGCCAGAAAACTATCCACGATACATTTTATGCTTTTTTTTTCCGACAACCTTTCTCGAAACAGCTGTATACGCTGAAACTGAACTCAATACTTCTGTTACGAGAAAATTACCTTCATCGACTCCCACAAAGTGCCCAGGTCTATTTTCTTGGAGTTTCTGGCACTGTTCAGATTTTGACGGAGCGCCTGATTGTTTCTCTTTTATTTCTGATATCACAATAGATGCCTCGTTCAAACTCTGTGAAGGAGCAGCAGTAAGTGACGGTTCCATCGTGCTTCCTGGAGCTGCAAATGTTATATGACGAATTTCAAATGAGAAAGATGGTCTGTTTTCGTCTCCTCACAAGCGTGGGACAAATAACGAAATCAGAGTCCTAACGTGGAATTGAACAACATACTATCGAGGATATGTAAAGCCTCTTTTTCATTGTTGCCCATTCAAAACTGAATAAAGTGCTAACACCGTAGTAGTAATACTGTTGGTTATATTTTTAGATTTAATTATTGATACGAATGTATTTCTCAAACCTTTGGGTCTTTCAAGATCTGAGGAAAGATTTTTCTTGGGTGTGGTTCCTTGAGCACTAAAATATGATGACCTTCTTACGCTGGTCGTTTCAAAATCATGAGCAGTGAAACCTTCTCGTCTTCCTCCATTTTGGTCCTCGAGCCTTTGTTCAGTTAAACGGTGGTCTTCAGGTAAGGGACTTCTCGCACTCGATACCAGTTCTGACTCGTTTTTCAGTTGTGCATTTTTCACTTCAGGGTGCGTTTTAAAACTCTTTTCATCGGGACGGTAAACAATGGAGGCCTCATTCAATCCTTGTGAAGGAACAGCAGTAACTGACGATTCCATCTTGCTTGGCGAAACTGCAAATGTTACACAATGTATTTCAAATGAGAAAGATGTTCAGTTTTCGTCTTCTCACATGCGTGGGACAAATAAAGAAATCAGAGTCCTCATGTGGAATTGAACAACAGACCATCGGGGACATGTAAAGCCTCTTTTCCATTATTGCTCATTCAAAACTAAATTAAATGCCAACACCAGAGTAGTAATACTTTCTGTTGGTAATCCTTTTAGATTTAATTACTGATACGAATGTATTTCACTAACCTTTGGGTCTTTTGGAACATTTTTCATCGGGATGGTACAAAATAGAGGCCTTATTCAAACTCTGTGGAGGAGCAGCAGTAAGTGACGATTCCATCTTGCTTCGTGAAGCTGCAAATTTTTTATAATGTATTTCAAATGAGAAATATGTTCAGTTTTCGTCTTCTCACATGCATGGGACAAATAAAGATATCAAAGTCCTCATGTGGAATTGAACAACAGACTATCGGATCTAATCATCTGAGGAAATGTAAAGCCTCTTTTTCAAAGTTCTTCATTCAAAACTGAATAAAGTGCTAACACCATTGTATTAATACTTTCTGTTAGTTGTATTTTTAGATTCAATTATTGATACGAATGTATTTCACTAACCTTTGGGGTTTTCAAGACCTGAGGAAAGATTTTTCTCGGGTGTGGTTCCTTGACAACTAAAATATGATGACCTTCTTCTGCTGGTCGTTTCAAAATCATGAGCAGTGAAACCTTCTCGTCTTCCTCCACTTATGTCCTCGAGCCTTTGTTCAGTCAAACGCTGGTCTTCAGGTAAGGGACTTCTCGCACTCGATGCCAGTTCTGACTCGTGTTTGAGTTGTGAATTTTTTCTTTCAGGGTGCGTTTTGAAACTTTTTTCACCGGGACGGTACACAATAGAGGCCTCATTCAATCTCTGAGAAGGAGCAGCAGCAGCAGTAACTGACGATTCCATCCTGCTTGGTGAAGCTGCAAATGTTACATAATGTTTTTAAATGAGAAAGATGTTCAGTTTTCATCTTCTCACAAGCGTGGGGAAAATAAAGAAATCAGAGTCCTCATGTGGAATTGAACAACAGACCATCAGTCCTCCTTCACCCCTCCCCGATTGATAGTCGCAATACTGGTGCTTATGTCGCGTGGTGTCATGCCTGGGTACCACATTATAAAAGGAAAGAAGCGCATGCGCTCTCCCTCTTTGTTTCGTGGTTCGTTTCGGCCGCCCACGTTTAGCGTTAATTCTTTCCTACTTCTTCTGAAAATGACTGAAAAAACATTGAGTAATGTAATATTTTCCCTGTGTGAGCTTGGATCTATTAGAAGATGCTCATGTTTTACTCGGCAATGCCAACTTCAGGCTTCATGCCTGGGGGCAGAAACGGTTTTCTGAGTTTCTTACAGAAGTGGGCAAACGTACTCTCCGTGAAGGTATCCGGGCTGACAAACACCTCTTCCCGGATAAATTTCATGCCAAGAGTGAGCACGACCATAGCTCGACCAACAGCAAACTGATCAGTACTCCACATGCAAAGCGTCAGTTCAAACAACCCTATGATAAGGATCAGCCCTTTCGTTCCGATTACCGTTCCAATGACAACAGCAGAGTTGGAGGAAAACGAAAGTGGGGATTTGGCTCAAAATTTAACCACCAATCTTCCAAACGTAGTAACACAGAAGAATCTTCTCCAAGCTTGCTTGTAGCCGGACCAGTTCAAGTTGATTATCCGCTGCCTGTCCTAGAAACGCTCAATCCACCCATTGACAAATCAGCCTCTCGTTTACAGTTTTTTGCTCAAAATTGGAAGAAAATAACGCAGGATTCATGGACATTACAAACAATTCAGGGGTACAAGATCCCCTTTTGCCGCCGCCCCAGGCAGCGTCGTGTGAGGATTACCCGTACCAATAGCCATACCGAGGCTAAACAAATGAACCTGGCAATTACAAATTTGTTAGCGAAAGGAGCGGTGAAGGCAATGACAATTTCTCTTCCTCAGTCAAAACTAAACAGTATTGTGGACGCATGTCAACTTCTCCTCGTTCAAAGGAGTGGATTGAGGACTCTGTCCACTCTGATCGGATGCATGAGCCATGCTTCTCAGACAAGGATCATGCTTGCCCTGCTTCACTACAGAAGTCTCCCGCGGTTACACCTACAAGCGGTGGCTCACTATGGCCATAGGGGGAATGTGCTCATCCCCTTAACCTACCGGGCCCTAGCCGACCCGGAGTGGTGGATCTCAGAGAGCAATCATCTGAATGGCTGTCCGATACGACACCCCCCGATCGACGCTACCCTTTAGACTGATGCATCCAAAAAGGGCTGGGGGCAGCATAACAGGGAATATTTATTGGGAGCCATTGGAGTGTAGAAGAGGCGAAAGCGCACATCAATGTCTTGGAGTTACGGGCCGCCACTTATGCCCTCAAAGCACTTCTACGGCACCTGCAACTTGTACCCAAACATAGCCGCTTACGGGTAGACAACACAACTGCAGTGGCCTACATCAAGGAGAGGGGGGAGACACGCCTCACTGCTCTGACATCTCAGGGCTTTGAACTGTGGGCAGTAGCCCTGGAAGCAGGAGTGTTCTTGACAGCACAGCATATTAGGAAAATTTGGAATGCAGGACTATAGCCGTCTATAAGTCAGCTATTTCTCAGACCCATGATCAAATTGGCTCTACTAAGTTAGGAAGTCTACCTATTGTTTCTCGGTTTACGAAAGGTGTTTTTAAGAGTAGATCCTACCAAGCCTAAGTACTGTTCTACATGGAATGTTAAAACAGCGTTGTTACTCTTCGAGTCTCTTAAACCGCTAGAGGATTTGACGTTAAGGCAGTTTTCTTACAAAACTGTTCTATTGCTTGCCCTCACATCAGCAGCACGAGCTCATGAACTGTCGTTATTGGATTTGTCTTGTTCTCTTAAGAAGGAGAGTTCATGGGAATTTAATGCAAGCCACATATCAAAACCTCCAGGCCTAGTCACCCAGCCCGTAAGTTTTTTCTTCCTTCTTTTCCAGAAAACGTAAAGATCTGTGTTGCGTATATCCTCAAAGCTGCTGGCGTCTTACATTTTACCCCACCAGGCCGTTTTAAGCCAGACTGTCTCTCGTTGGCTGACAAGGGCTCTACAGATGGTGGGAATCGACTTGGGCTTCTCTGGGCACTCGACTGGGAGAGCCTCTACCTCTGCAAATGCTGCAGCAGGTGTCTCTGTTGAGCTTATCCCAGAAGCAGCAGATTGGGCTTCTGCAGGGACGCTTTTGCCACAGAAGTCAGATCGTCTTGTTTTATTGTACTACAGACCTCCGGTGGAGTTTATTGAACCGTTTGGTTTTGTTATTCTGCATTTCTCTATTGTTTGTTTGATATTCTGCACCACTACTGCGACTATCAGTCGGAGAGGGGTGAAGGAGAAATAATGTTTTCCCGGAGGGTTAGTACTTACCTGACGGGGAGATAGGGTTCTCCGAACCCTTTGTAGACTGATATGGGCAATAGTGGTCCCCAAGCCATCAAAGCTATCTTTTCCTCCCCACCTGTCTACTGCCAATAAATACGGTCTCACTCTTCATTACTTTGAGGGAGAGCACATGCGCTTCTTTTCTTTTATAATGTGATACCCAGGCCGCGTGCCGCGCGCAACGCGACACATGCACTTGTATTGCTCCTATCAGTCTACAAGTGGTTCGAAGAATCATATCTCCCCGTCAGGTAAGTATTAACCCTTCGGGGAAATATTATATCTAATCATCTGAGGATATGTTAAGCCTCTTTTTCATTGTATTTTTATGCAAAACTGAATAAAGTGCTAACAGCAAAGTAGTAATACTTTCTGTTATAGATTTAAGTGTTGATAGGAATGTATTTCTCTAACCTTTGGGTCTCTCAAGACCCGAAGAAAGATTCTTCTCGGGTGTGGTTTCTTGACTATTGAAATATGATGACTTTCTTCCACTGGTCGTTTCAAAATCATGAGCAGTGAAACCTTCTCGTCTTCCTCCATTTTTTCCCTCGAGCCTTTGTTCAGTCAAACGCTGGTCTTCAGGTAAGGGACTTCTCGCACTCGATGACAGTTCTGACTCGTCTTTCAGTTGTGCATTTTCAACTTCAGTGTGCGTTTTGGTACTTTGTCCATCGGGAAGGTAAACAATAGCGGCCTCATTCAAATTCTGTGAAGGAGCAGCAGTAACTGAAGATTCCATCTTGCTTCCTGAAGCTGCAAATAGTATATAATGTATTTCAAATGAGAAAGATGTTCAGTTTTCGTCTTCTTACAAGCGGGAGACAAATAAAGATATCAGAGTCCGCCTGTGGAATTGAACGACAGACCATCGGATCCAATCATCTAAGGAAATGTAAAGCCTCTCTTACCATCCTGTCCATTCTAAAACGAATAAAGTACTAACATCAGAGTAGTAATACTTTCTGTTAGTAATACTTTTAGATTAAATTGTTGATACGAATGTATTTCTCTAACCTTTGGGTCTTTCAAAACCTGAGGAAATATTTTTCTCAGGTGTGGTTCCTTGACTACTGAAATATGACTTTCTTCCACTGGTCGTTTCAAAATCATGAGCACTGAAACCTTCTCGTCTTCCTCCAATTTTTTCCTCGAGCCTTTGTTCAGTCATACGCTTGTCTTTAGTTAAGGGATTTCTCGCACTCGATGACAGTTCTGACTCGTCTTTAAGTTGTGCATTTTTCACTTCAGGGTGCGCTTTGAAACTTTGGTCATCGCAACAGTATACAGTAATGGCATCACTCAAACTCTGCGAAGGAGCAGCAGTAACTGATGATTCCATCTTGCTTCCTGAAGCTGCAAATGTATATAATGTATATATAATTTATTTCAAAAGAGCAAGTTGTTCAGTTTTCGTCTTCTCACAAGCGTGGAACCAATGAAGATATCAGAGTCCTCGTGTGGAATTGAACAGTAAACCATCGGGGATATGTAAAGCCTTTTTATCATTGCTGTTCATTCAAACTGAACAAACTAGCAACACCAGAGTAGTAATACTTTCTGTTATTAACACGTTTAGAATTAATTGTTGATATGAATGTATTTCTCTAACCTTTGGGTCTTTCAAGACCTGACAAAAGATTTTTCTCAGGTGGGGTTCCTTGACTATTGAAATATGATGACTTTCTCCCACTGGTCGTTCCAAAATCATGAGCAGTGAAACCTTCTCGTCTTCCTCCAGTTATGTCCTCGAGCCTTTGTTCAGTCAAACGCTGGTCTTCAGGTAAGGGACTTCTCGCACTCGATGACAACCCTGACTCGTTTTTCAGTTGTTTATTTTCCACTTCAGGGTGCGTTTTGGAACTTTGTTCTTCAGGACGATGCACAGTAGAGGCCATAATGGCCTCATCCAAACTCTGTATAGAAGCAGCAGTAACTGACGATTCTATCTTGCTTCCTGAAGCGGCAAATGTAACACAGTGTAATTCAAATTAGAAAGATGTTCAGTTTTCGTTTTCTCACAAGCGTGGAACAAATAATCAGTGTCACCATGTGGAATTGAACAACAGACCATCGGAGCTAATCATCTGAGGAAATGTTAGGCCTCTTTTTCAATATTGTTCATTCAAAACTGATTAGAGTGCTAACATCAGAGTAGTAATACTTTCTGTTAGTAATACTTTTAGATTTAATTGTTGATACGATTGTATTTCTCTAACCTTTGGGTCTTTCAAGACCTGACGAAAGATTTTTCTTAGGTGTGGTTTCTTGACTACTGAAATATGATGACTTTCTTCCGCTGATCGTTTCAAAATCATGAGCACTGAAACCTTCTCGTCTTCCTCCATTTTTTTCCTCGAGCCTTTGTTCAGTCATACGCTGGTCTTTAGTTAAGGGACTTCTCGCACTCGATGACAGATCCGACTTGTCTTTCAGTTGTGCATTTTTCACTTCAGGGTGTGTTTTGGAACTTTGTTCATCGGGACGGTACACAATAGAGGCCTCTACAAGGTCAATAACAACAGTATGCTGAACACTCCTAAGATATTACCTTATAATGCTTAGCTCACCGTAGAGTATCAGTGGCTCAGTGTTAGAGATTCAGAGCGCGAAATTCCTAGGTCTAAGGTCGATTCCTTGTGGCAACTCAGAATTATCCTTTGTGTCACGCTCTTTACGTGATGGAAAAAAAACATCTCTATATTTCATTACTACGCTCAAATTCACCACTGATCTCTGATACAAAATGAACTTACTACTTTGATGTTATCACGTTAAAAGAACAACGGAGAGAAAAACATTTACCATGGTCAGTTCACTCAAGTTGCTAAGCTGAAAAGAACAGAAAAATGTCAAAAAAAATAGCAGTGATAATAGAAATGAATCATCAGGACGGTGTAGTAAGGGAAAGTGTAGATGAGTTTTCACGCAGCACAATGAAAATCTTTTAAGCTAAAATGGGGCACCAGGTAAGTTGGGTTAGTTTTGCAGCCAAACTTTAAAATGTTATTACTGTGACAAGAACGTTTCACAAGAGATATACTAAAACTTACTCACCACTAACGAGGCTAACCATCTTTTCCACAAGAGCATTGCATTGACTCTCCCAGATGTACTTCTTGCCATAGCTTTCCCGTAGAGTTTGACATTCTGCAATTGCAGCTTTGCGACCCTTTTTTCGGACACTTTTAATAGCTTCAGCCCACTTATCTGATTCCTCAGAATCTACAATCCAGGGGGTACTCTGAGGAAGAGCACCTTGTAGAGCCTTTCCAAATCCACTGGTTTGGGTGACAAGAAAAGGCAGACCAACAGATAACGCCTCCAAGGCGGTTAAACCAAATCCTTCCGATCTTGAAGGTATAATAGCAAGATCTGCTGCAGATAGCACTGTAGCAAGATCTTCCCAATCTTCAAGATATTCTTTCACAATCAGCTGTTTTCTCCTTAAGCCGCCCTCAAGCAATTTGTCTGCCAATTCTTTCTCGTTTCCACTTGTTGCACCCACAAAGACAAGCTGGTAACTTGTGTCATTCAGTTGAGCGACTGCTTTGGCCGCAATGTCGAAACCCTTGAGTGCAAAATCTTCCGAGTCACCTCGTCCAAACAACAGGATATTGAACATCTCACCTTCAACGGGTATGGAAAGCTCTAACGAGGATAATTCAGAAAAGATGCCTGGCGTAAGATTGAATACATCTATTTTGAATCTGCGAAGGTAACGTGAGTAAAACTCCCAAAGCCTTGGTCCAACAGCCACCACTAGATCAGCAATCTTGCACAGTTGAATTTCATTCCACTGTTTTCTGTCGCCCCTAGATATGGCATTTTCACAATCTGAGTACGTTTTCAACATGGAAAGTTGCTCAGGGGCGGTATGTACAACTTGAACCCACTTACACCGATGGCTTTCCCTTATTATTTGAGCGTGTTTACCAAGTTTTACACCATGGCCAATGACTATGTCTATGGGGAGATCATTCGGTGGAAAACTTAACCAATCAACCGGATCGAATCCATACCGCTCCCGTGCTTTAACGATACGCACGTTACAACTACTACTTGCATTTTTGTCGTCTTCAGTGCATTTCGGGACTAAGAAAGTTACGGACACATTGGGATGTTTAGCCAAATGTATCGCCAACTCTCGATTTATGGTCGACAGGCCACCTTTGGAAGACTTCCATTCGTCCGCGAGGAGAGTAACATGTAATTTGCTATTGGACATGTTCCTGGCAATGTAATTTAGCAAACATTGTTAATGTTTCACATAACATTGTAATTTTATCTGAGCTTCTCAAGGAGGTAATGGCTATCACGGCTAATGATTAAATTTTGGCCAATTTACGGCTAACAGTTGAAACAGTTAATATCTTTCCGTTGTGGTCGCCAGAATTCTTTTTAACGATTGACTTTTTACGACTATCGGTCATAATTTATCGATTTTTACGCCTCACTACTGAAGTTTTTGGCCGTTCTACGGCTAACGGTTCACCCCATTGAGACCCTCTTATCCCGTATGACTTTCTGTACTGAATTAGAAATTGCTTCATACACCATATTGAGGGGAGAAAAATGCCTGCTAGCTATGTATGTCAAATGAATTTACCCCTTTTACGATTATCATATGGCTGAGTTTTCATTCAAGAAAAGGGAAAATACCAAGAATTATAATTAGGAAAAAGCAAACGCAAAATAACATTGGTTGACTCCCGTTCGGTTTTCCGAACATTATTTCTTATCCCATCACGCTAAGAATGTACTTGTCACGCAAGGAAATTTTTCAGCCATCCCTTCAAAGTAATTCATCTTGACTTCGTTCGTTCAGAACCTGAGGGAGCGTGCAAGATTACTTTTACTTTTCCAGGCTAGAGTACCGTTGTGCAGCTTTCTTAGCAGAAATGTTCTTTCAAGTATGCCAGGAAAACCATGCACGAATAACTAAGTATGACAACATAAAATACTTATTACAATGGAATACTTTTCCATTTTGAAGGTTACTCTCGAAGCAATGCGATTTCATAAGCACTCTTCAAGCCAATTCTCTTCACAAATTCTTTAATCACGGGTGATCGAACCATAGTTCTTGTTATTAACTATGATCAAATAACTATGGAGGAAACTAACTACTCGCAAACTCAAGATTAAAATCCACCTTCGCACGCTTGCTGATCACATTGGGAGAGGCGAGTGAACTGGCTTCCTTATGGAGGAACTACGATCTGAAATAAAGCTTCATCTTCACTAGACATAGTATCTTAATTTTATGTTGATAACATAAGTCTATTTGTAGACTAGATTAAGAATTTCTTCTACCAAGTAACGACATAACCCGCATCGCCCAAACCTATTTTGCCGGATTTCAATATTTGTTAATGAATCCTACGCATAGTTCCGTTTACTTTGGCTACACACAATTAAAAAAAAAAAGGAAGTCGATAGTCAGCGATTCCTTTACAAACAAAGAACTAGTGTTTCAAGTCTACAACTTGTGAAAATATGAACATAAACTTACATTCTTGCGGTTACATGTATGACGCACTTACCCTGCCTGTGCTTCTTGACTCCTCTTAAGCGAAAGCAGCAATCAATCGACAAAATAGATTTGCCATCGTCCAAGGGACCCACATATCATGATGTAAAACATGAAAGAACTAGACTTTGTTCGAGGAGACTTAATGGAATCGAAATAGTGGCTCAATTTCAACAAGAAGTATCAATCGTGCGATCCAAAAGCTCTCGTCCCCTGTGAATGACGAAAACCAAATTGAGACTTCGCATCATTGAACAATCCTGTTGCTGCAGTAAAGGATCTTGGGATACCAAGATTGTCACGCTGCAAAATAAAACAATGTTATTGTCTGAAAAATTATGCGTAGTTCTTAGAAATAGGATACAGGCCAAGTGCTCTTTCTTACTACTCCCATATGACAATAATTAACTTATCTTCAAAGATATATTGTGGCAAGAGAGCAAGAAGCCAAACTATTTTGGGGAGATTTTGATGACCATAATTGAGCCTGCACAATAGGTGTAACGTATGTCAGAGTTTAGAGCGTGAAGTCTTTAGGTAGATGATGCTGGCGAAAATAAAATTTACGTGGGCATTCAGGCTTTATCGTAGAAATAAGATGTAAACTTGGTTAGAGTGGAACACGGTTAGTGAATTTCAACCCCTCTGATCGGCTAAACGGAGCCAGGTTAAGACTTTATAACCTAGCTCCGACAAATACGATCAACGAATTCGTCAGTGAAGCTATTTATCACCTCAAATTCGGCGCGCCCTCGTAGTATAATTGTTTTTATCATCCAACTGCACAATGTAGAGTACAAATAACACGCGAATAGAGTACAAATATCCTGCCACATTATACAGTAATTCGGACAGTTTGCTATTTTACTATGGTCGCTCCAAAGAAGACAGGAAATGGATATTTTTCATAGATGTCAGCAGATTTCTGCTTTCTGAAGTAAAAACAACCAAAAATCTCCCAGTGATTTACACGAGAGGAAGTCAAAGGTCTCTTTAATTTTCCCCTAAGGTGGCCGGCTCACCAGAAAGAAAAAGGAGATCGTTCAGTCTAATAACGTTAGTCTGTGGAGATTATCGAGCTGATAACTAAGAAGATTGGGCCCTTTGGTTTATCAGTGATAGCATTAATTATTTCAAATCTGTATTTCTCGGTCCAAGCGACACCAAAAATAGTTCCTTTGTAATTTTGTGAGCATTTCCCATAGCAGTTTATTGTCAAGGCAAATAAATCTCAAGGCTCAAAGCCAATATAACGTTCGAGCACGTGAGACTCCCTGAAAAAAGCTAAATTTTGGAAATTGATTGTGATGAAATCCCTGTTCCGCTTTCTGTACTGCAGGGATACTGAGTAGTTCAAATTCTTCACTTTGTGATGATTTTCGCGCGAGTACGTCCTACAAATTGCTATTGTGGCGACTGGGTTTTACATGTAGTACTGCCGCTGACAAGCTGCGATTTCTGCTCTTAGATTCTCAGTGTTTACGATCGTTCGGTTGAGGTTTTCTTCTTTTCTTTTGGTTGTTTTTACCTAGAATGCGGGGAAATCTGCTGATATATCCAAAAATGTCCATTTCTCGTCTTCTTTGGAGCGATCGATAGAAACTTCATGGAGAAATACAGCGTCACGCCATCGTGATAACGTACACGTTTATGACAATTGACCGGTGTGAGGATAGTTTCGTGTAGATCAGCCGACTTCAACATGTTTCAAATGACATACAAGTATAACAGTGTATCTTCAGAGGACTTCGCATCGCTCAAATTCCCATGAAAGAAGGTGCAGCACTCGGAATCTGGATGATATCCACTCGATTTGAGTTATATGTTTGTAGTTACGTCGAGTAGTCCTACATGAAGTTTGATCAATTTTTTTTTTAAAAGATGACAACCAGAGGCGAGATTTTTCTTCGGGATATTGCTCATAAGAGCAAAAGAGTGTCATTTTTCTGAAACATTTGTTGTTGAGAACATTAGACGTAAACATCGCCAAATTATGCAATATCTGATTTTGAGCTTTTTTCGCGAATTGCCCCTATAAAAAGTAGAGGCAGACCCGCAGAGATTTTTACATATTTAAAAACTAGAATATTATAACCAGCTAGGTGGGTAGTTTCAGTTCCAGAATCGGTGTACTTTTGGAGAAATTCAGATAAACGTTGTAATATTTTCTTTTCTTCTATAATGCTATGATTCCACAAAATGTCATGCACCTGTAAACAGTGAATAGTCTTTCCCCTCTGTAGGAAGTTGGAAAAGTGACACCATAGCCTCCTTAAAATACAACTTTCGTGGTAAAGTCTAAGCAAACTGTTTTCCCTTAGCCATTTCCAATCAAGTAGAAGTTCATAATTTTTCATTATTATCACTTGGTTCAGTATTGTAACTTCAAAGAAACCTTTTGTAATACAACTACAGAACTTGGAGTATTTTTAATAAACTTGTTCAAAACAAGTATTCTTTTTTCTTAAAATAGATGTGGACAAGCAAAATGGGAAAAAGGGTGGAAGAGATGGAATGATAAAATGAAGCAAGTAGTGACCTAACAACAACTGACAAATTACAATAACTTAGGCCAACATTTGCTTTAAATGTCATTTTCTACAGTATTCAGAAAATCTTAATTCATCATGCTAATGCAAAAGAAATTAAATTTTTGAAATATGGGGCCCAAGAAATATTCTTTAATCTGTAACAAATAGAGATTGTTCCATGGAAAGTGTGCACAAATGAGTTTTGTTGCTTCAAGAAAAATTAATGTGTGAGCACAATGAACTAGTGACTTTTTCGATAAACACAACAAGTGATAAAAGTTGTTCAAGCACTCTCCATGGTATGATGATTGGAAGCTTAGGACTGTGAAAATACATTGTTTGCTCAATTAAAGCCACAACTGATAGTACTTGACAGCATAAATCCCTATCTGTATTGAAAAAAATTCCATTTCTTAACAATTCTCAAATAATTATTTAAGATAAAGATAATGTCTCAAAGATTTCAAGGTAAGAAGGAAAAAAAAAGGTAATACTATATGATTATTTTTGACTGTTTACAAAGAAATTAAAATTAAACATAGATCAAATAAAAAACCCCTTGAATGTCCATTGCCATGGTCTCCAATACATACACATATACATTAACTTCTTTTTTTAACCAATTATATAATAACTTGAATGAAAGTGATCTTCGCAGTGATGTGCACTACTTAGACAGTAGTGAAAATAAGGCCTGAAAAAAATTCAGGCCTGTGCGGGATTTGAACCCATGACCTCTGCGATACCGGTGCAGCGCTCTACCAACTGAGCTAACAAGCCAACTGGGAGCTGGTCATGATGGTGGTTCTAAATAAACCCGTGAAGTGATGAATAGACGGTTAAGAATATATGAAGGTCATATATTTGAACTGCGGATAAAGACATGAATGAAAGTGATCTTCGCAGTGATGTGCACTACTTAGGCAGTAGTGAGTATAATTGTCAATCAGGTAACATCTCCTTGTAAGAACATTGTCTCAATACAAATTCTAATTAATTTCTTCCCTTTGTTTTCCTCTCAAAGAAATAAAAAGTGTTTAAATTGTGGAGGGAGAGACCACTCCTACAAAGAGTGTACCTCTCCCTATGGAAGAGGAAGAGGTGGAGGAGGAGGAAACAGAAGAGGCAAGAGAGGAAGAAGAAAGGGAGCACCATAGCAGTGGC